TTAACCCACATTGCATGTGATAAATAATTGAATAAATAGATAATTTTCATCTACTTTGCTGTATCATACAAAATTGAGGACCTTTTTCCTTTTTAATATATGTTTTATATTAAAAAGGAAAAAGCCCCCCTAACCTTTGCGACCTTCCTATGCCACTGTATATATATATATATATATATATATAATATATATATATATATATATATAATATATATATATATATATATATATATATATATAATATATATATATATATATATATATATATATATATATAATATATATATATATATAAAAAAAAAAAAAAAAAAGAGTAACAAATTTAAAACAAAATAGTTTTATAATTGCTTAACAAACAATTTTATAAAAAATTAAATAGATAGATTAGATTAAAAAAATCTTACACCTATGATATAATGATTGCAAACCATATTGATAATCATGATGTAAGTTATTAGATTCAAGATTCAAGATTAAGTGTTTGTTAATTAAAGTCTTGAAAATCTTGCTTATGATAGTGAGAAGACGACAACAGTTTAATGGGATGGTAGTTAGAAAGCTCTCTAGAATTTTTGAAAATAACAGATGTTGATAACCACCAGGCTAGAAAACTAGAACTTAATAAGCACTTGTTAAATAGTTTTGACAACAAGTATAGACAACAGCTACAGAGAACACTTCTTCAAAACTTTAACAGGTATGTTGTTTGGACTACAACCTGTAGAAGTCGAAGCAGAAAATCACATTAGATGCAGAAGCTGGAGTTATATGCATGTCAAGCAATCAATCAAACTGTATGTTGGCTATATCAGGTAGGATGTGATTAGTGGAATTAAGAGATTAGATTTATAAAAAGTTCTTAGCAAACAATTCAGCTTTGTCATTAGGTAATGTAACAAAATCTGAACCACAAAAGAGAACAGGAACAACAGATTTGTCTTTATTATAGACACAGTTAAAAAGTCTCTAGAAGCCTCTGGAGCCTCTCTTTTGAGATAAAAAACAAGATTTGTGATCTGAGAATAGCGGGCTTAGGCATTAGACAATACTATTTAACAATGGTTTCTAGCAATAATAAACAGACGCCTGTTTTTTGGAGAAATGTTTTGGCAATAGATATGGAAGTAATGGTTACAATTGGAAGTTACAGCAGCAAAATAATAAAGTTGTCCAAGCGAAACACAAACCACAACTTATCAAAATACAGGAAAATGAAAAGGTCAGTAAATTTGCAAACTCTTTTTTTCAATAAAACCCCTACAAACAACTTCTTCAGTTAGGCATTAGTAACTTTTCCTACAAGGCAATAAAAAAAATTATGATTAAAAACTTTTTACAACTATAAACTTATCGAATTATAATTTTAACTTTTTGCTATTTTTTTTTTATTTTTAAATAATAAAAATAATAGGAAATAATTGTGAAAGTAAAAAAGCAACTAAAACAACAAACTCATTAACTTTTATTTAGAATTAAGTATTTATTTTTATATATTAATATAAAAAGTTGAAATATTTCAAAGAATTCAAATTATTGCAGTGGACATCTAATAAAATTTTAAACTTTTGTTTTGGTGGTACAAAATTATGAGTTATATGATTGGTCTATTTGTAAGAGACCTGATGAGTGTATATAGTGTATATGAGTGTATAAATTACGATGATTAGAGCTTGGAAACAAAAAAACCTACAAAATTAAAATAGTTTTTGTACTATTTTCAACTAGACTTACATTCATTGATAAATTTTTCATAATATTATCTGTCAGCGTTAAAAAATTATGACTATATAAAATTTGCAACCCCCTCAAATTGAGGGGGACTTAAACTTTATATAGTCATAATTTTTGAACGCTAAAATATTTTACTATAAAATTTAAAATTTATTTATGAGTATAAGTCTAGTTGAAAATAGTACAAAAACTATTTTACAAACTTATTGCTCTCTCCTTTGGGGCAATGTTGGCCAAATTTTTGGGTTTTTTTTGTTCCCAAGCTCCAATCTTCCTTATTTGTTATAAGTATAAACGTATAAATGTTTGGAATTTGCTCCATGTTTGAAAGTTAGCTCAAAGATCAAATAATGTTGGCATTTTTACATAACAGGTTCATGACATTTTAAGACATAACATTAAATAACAGTTAATATACCTTTATACACTTTTCTCTGTCAAAGAAAAGTGAAATTTATTTTTGACATAAAACTTGTCCTGACCTACTCAAACAAAAAAATTAAATTCAACATAAAAGTTTGTATTTACCAATTCAAACAATCGAAAATGATGATTCGCTTTTGACTATCAAATTATCATTGTTAGAATTGAGTCTTATTAGAAGTTGCAAATAATCTAAGTTGTTTAAAAAAACTCGTCCACAAACCGTTGATGTAGTGGATGATTTTAAAGATCATACAATACTCTATCAACTTTATTAAGAACAACAACCATTTCCAAAAAATTTTTATTTTGAGCTTAATCAAACATTATATTTGCTGTAATAAAGTAAAACCCAGACTTTTCAGCAATATAATCTTGTCTAGAAAGAAATCCCTGACCATATTCAAATAACCAAGAACTTCCATTTGTAATCCAGCCATTAATGGGATACCATTTGCTTTGATCTTAAAAAATACTATTAATTCTAAACTGCATTGCAAAAAATCCAAAAGTATCGACGCCAATGAATGTTAGTGAACTTGATGATGGCTTACCAATGGAATATGAATTAACAGTCAAAGCATTATTTTTAAATGAGTACATATCTGCAACATTTAAAGAAACCACGGTAGTAAATGATAAACTAAATGGTAACAATCCTTCATTGTAGTACTCAAAAAGGTTAATTAAAGATGTACCCAAATTTTGCTTAATACTGATAAAGCCATAAATATTTATAAGATCAATATTAAATGCAGCTAAATATACACCACCTTTAGAAATAATATATTCATTTGCTTGGGTGAAGTTTGTTTAATGTATTGACTCTACTGCAGACCATCCCACTATTTTTTGATCTTCTGATAAACTTATAAGTATTTCAGATAATAACTGACATGAAAAACCATCTAATGATCTCAGAGGATTAATAAGCTTTAGACTAAACACGCTTAACTCAGATACATATGTTGTCAATGCATTTAATTGGACAAAAATTGCAACAGTGTGACCAACTAAAAATTTTACTGCTTGTGTTATTGAAATAGTACAAATACCAGAACATACAGGATATAAATATGAAAGACCAATACCAGATTTAACCATTGAAAAACCACTTTAGTCTGCATTGATACCAATCTTTACTCTTAAAGATAAAAAATTTTGATATTTTTAAATCTATAACAGATCATTACTTTATTTACAAAAACATTAGTTGTGGTAACTATTCCTTGACCTCAAAAATCTAAATTTGAAAAACAATGAAATATCTATACTTCTAGAAAATTTTAACATCTCAAGGACGGCAGAACTTACAGGTTTGCCTAATCATAGAATTCTTAAAATTACCTCACAAACTGCAGTTTATAAGGTAAGTATCTCGATTTAACTTATTTTCTATGGATAATCAATCTTTAAAATAAGTTTATTTTTACCACCTTTTTTTAAAATTTTCATACTTATATACTTGTACATGTTCATACTTACTTAAATAAATAAAAACTTGAAACAATTTACTCCAATAAGATTCATATTTCTTCAATACCATAATTATACTCTTACATATAAAATCCTAACACAACACATATCCATATAAAACTACAGGTAATGCTTATTAAAACATAATTAAAATGTTTGTAAACTAAAGTTTACAACCGCTTTAAAGTGTGTTGTCTTTTTTATCGCTAAGAATCTCACTTATTCAAAAAGTTTTATGTATTACATTAGATTTATAAAATAAAATTTTTTATCGCTAAGAATCTCACTTATTTATAAAAGTTTTATTATATTATATTAATTCTTACATTAATCATCATACTTTTCTTTATCTCTCTTATCTCTTTTTTCTTTATCTCTTATCTATTATGTCTATTTATTCATCTTTTGTATTTCTTTATCTTTGGATTCATCAACAAAAATCTCTTAAACAAAATAATAAAAATAATAAAAAAAAATATATATCAAACCCAATGGAAATTTGACTTTCGTTTATTTTAATAACTAAAGTACTTGATATTAAATACACTCCATCTAAAAAAACAGTATATACTCCATCCCTTTGGTTAAGACCTTCTCCATCAACACCAAGAACAGTAGACATTATAACATTCCAATTTCTTAGTCTTGTATAATAACTAAAAAATAATAATTTCTTTTAAAATAACAACAACAGGGATTAGTTAAGTTGTATGCTAAGTAATACTGAGTAAAAATTGATTACTGAGTAAAAATTGAATTATTTACAATAATTTCTATTAATTTTATTATTTTATGAAAACATATTACAGTTTTAAAGATCATTGGCTTTTGCATGCTTAGAGAATAATGTAACCTTATCAAGCCATTCTTATGCACAATGTTGAATATTATTAACATAACTTAAAATTTAATTAAATTAAGGGTTATTCCATATGAAATCATCCAGACCATGACACCCTTACGTCTCAGAATTTGTTCATTTTTACACCACTTGCAGTCCATAATAAAAAAATTATAACTGCGAAAATTTTAGTCAAAAGTACACATGGGTTCCAGAGATAACATCAGTTGAAATAATGCTGATTCAGCAATTTACTGATTTTCTGAAGCGACTCCAAAGCAACTTTGATTCAACTTTTTCAATGGTGTTTCTTGGGTATCAGACAAATATTTTTGGTGTAACAACAGTTCTCACAAATAGTTTAGCTTACACTACATCTGGTTGGTTTAAGATTGGAAAATGGAAATCTTAAACTGCAGCAGGTCCATTTTTTAATTTTGGGGGAGGATTTAATCCAGACTCTGTAGAGTGGGTAGCTAAAAATGTACATTTTTTTTTTACTTTTGTTTTTAGATTGATTATACTTGTATCTTTATTTCTTTTTCAGTTTTGTTGCTCCTAAAGCAGGTTTTTACATTGTGAGTGCTGGAATAAAAATGGTTCAGGCAAGTGCAGTTGGTTCTACCTTTACTTTAAATGTTGCTATTAATGGAAATCCATCTACTTTACAATACCAAAATGGAATACAAGACTATCTTCAAAATGGTAATGTTGCACCTACTACAAAGTAAATACCTTTCTTGTAGTTTTGTTTTATTCATTGTTAAAATATTTTGAAAAAGCAAAGTTAAAATTATAAATTTTTTATGTACTTGTTACTAATAGGTACTAAGAATTTTATTTTATCAGTTTTTAGTAAATAATGTCTTCCTATTTAGTTTTTAGTAAGTTATAATGTCTTTTAAATTTTTTTTTAATAAAAAATTATAATGCTTTATTATTTAGTTTGTATACTATTCTTTTTTTGGTCTTTTAAATAGTGATTTTTACTCATTGGTTGTATCTGGTTTGGTATTAGTTAATGCAGGTGACAGCATTGCACTTTATATTCAATCTGTTGCTGATCCATCTTATACAATAAGTCAAGACAGCTTTATGTCAATCGTTTTTATTAGCTCTACCAATAATTTATATTCATCTGGAATGCAGTTAATGCTAGATCCAACACTTGATCATTAGTTGAGTGCTTCTGATTGGTCTAAAGTTAAATATTGGCAGAGCAACTGGGTGAGCACTGCAACTGGTGTTTTCAGCAGTGGTAAGTCTGTAGTCTAGTAGTCTTTTTAGAAAAATTTAAATTTTGTAACAAAAGCAATTAAAATATTTTTAAAAACATTTATTTGAGTAAAACATTAAATAGTGTTATTTGTTGAATAGTTTACGACATTTGTAGTCATGGTTTAAGGGAGGTCCAGGGGGTCTTGATTGACCTATGCCCCCCCTCCCCCATATACCAAGTTTTTTTAATTTTTTTTTTTATTTTTACATAAAATGAATAAATAATAAAAAATTATCCAATTACAATTTAAAAACATATATTTTTTTAAATTTAAGTTTAAGAAACAATTTATTTTAGTTATTTTCAAATCAATAAATACCTCTTATTTTCTAGATCTTTTCACGATTTAAAAAGTTATTAATTTTAAAACAAAAAATATTAAAATCTTTTTCAAACATTTTAACAAGCAATATCTTTATGATATTATTTAGTAGTTCAAGACTAATACAGTCATTAAAATAATAGGTGGAGATTGGAATTTATTTAAATCCCACCCCCTCCTTCTCAGCCTACAATCCAAAGATTTGAAAAAAAGAAAAAAGAGAAATATTAAATGCAAATAGGTAAATAAAATAAAAACAAAATTATTTTAAATGTAATTAATATTTTTTGTAACCAACAGCTTATATTCTCTAAATCTAAATCAGTTATATAATTGATATCTTTGTACGTGTCCATGATTTCGGTGCAAGCGTTAACATTTGCACCTTATGGCAATAAGAGTCAGTCTCTAAAAATTTTTTTTTAATTCAACATTAAAATAACATTAAAATCACTAGATCATAGCTATTGTTAATGTTGTTGTTTAAAATTTTAATTTCTGTTGTTAAAAAAGTTTCTTTAATATTTTATGCTAATGAGACCATTTTTGCAACTCTGTCAATAGTGTTCTTAAACTTTTGTTTTGCTTTAGGCAATTTGCTGTGTTTTGAAAGACTTTTTAGTTTGACTGGTGAAATTCTAAGCAATTCTATAGTGGTTTTTTTCTTACTTTTTGATTCCCGTTCATCCTGTGAATTTAAATCTTCTTCAGTTTCTATTGCTTTTTTGTAACATTTACTGCAGAATTTCCAACCTGGGGTTACATAAACGTTATTTTCTTGCAAAAATTTTGCCATGTCTATGGAAATCTTTATATTACCTAAAAAGAAAATTTATTTTTAGGATTTTAAAATAACTAAACATATAAACATTTTTATAAATGATAAATTGTTTTTCTTTTAACTTCCATATCAATTCTGTTGTAAATAATGTTAGATTACCTTTTATAGTAAATCTTTTACTTTTCTTGTTTATTTCAAAAGGATTGCAGCACTTTAATTTTTTTCTCGAAATATTTTCCATAGAATTGCACATGATAACAACATATAATTTTTACTGAACTATGTTTTCCTTTTAAATTTGCTCGCCATATTATTTCTTTTTGTTTTTCACAAGAAAGATCTTTAAATTGAACAAAACCTTGTTATCTAGAAAATCCAGTTTTGTGGCAATGAATGTTAAGACTTTATCCAATGTCACATTTCTCCGTATTAAATACTTTTATTATTTATTACCTGCCAAAAAAAATAAAATATATAAAATTCACAGTCATTTTTCAGAAAATTACAAATAAGTGAAGTATCTTTAAAAGGAACAAAACAAAACTTATGCTTGTTTTTGATATAATAGGAGGTTTTAATTCACCAATTTGAAACAATGAAAATAAAATGTTTCTCAAACTTAAACAAAAAAAATATGTTTTTAAATTGTATTTTAATTGAAAAAAAAAAAAAAAAAAAAAAAAGAGATAGGAGGGGGGGGGGGGAGGAAGTTCATCCAAGGCCTCCTGGACTTCTCTTGAACCATGACTATAAATGTCCTAAACTAGTCAACAAATAACACTATATGATGTTTTACTCAAATAAATGTTTTTAAAAATACTTTAATTGCTTTTGTTACAAAATTTAAATTTTTCTAAAAAGAATAAAACAAAACTACAAGAAAGGTATTTACTTTGTAGTAGGTGCAACATTACCATTATGAAGATAGTCTTGTATTCCATTTTGGTATTGTAAAGTAGATGGATTTCCATTAACAGCAACATTTAAAGTAAAAGTAGAACCAACTGCACTTGCCTGAACCATTTTTATTCCAGCACTCACAATGTAAAAACCTGCTTTAGGAGCAACAAAACTAAAAAAGAAATAAAGATACAAGTATAATCAATCTAAAAACAAAAGTAAAAAAAAATGTACATTTTTAGCTACTTACTCTCCAGTGTCTGGATTAAATCCTCCTCCAAAATCAAAAAATGGACCTGCTGCAGATTGAGATTTCCATTTTCCAATCTTAAACCAACCAGATGTAGTGTAAGCTAAACTATTTGTGAGAACTGTTGTTACACCAAAAATATTTGTCTGATACCCAAGAAACACTATTGAAAAAGTTGAATCAATATCTATGGACCAGCTATTATCATTTTCAATCATAACAAAAACATTAACATAAGAATCTAAAGAAAATATCAGCATTAACCTAATGAACATCTGACAACTGATGTCAGTTGTCAACTTGATGTCAGTCTTGACTTGATGTCAGTCAACTCAATTGCATCAGACAATAACAACTAATTAATGTCATGCAATCAGATTTATTAATAAATATTTTTAATGAATATTGCATTTAACAAAAATTGAAAGGCTAATATGATAAACTAAAAAATAAAACAAACAATGAATAAATAAATAACTATACCTTTTTTAATAAATAAGGCTCCAGACACACTAAGAATGTCTTGAACTACTGATGGTTTTCCTTTTGTTGCATATAAAGCAGTTTGTTTTGATAACTGATTATTGACAGCTATCATAAAATATAAATTGGTCCATTGCTGTCTTTAAAAATAACACTAGCAGACAAATAAAAGATCCCTGTTGCCATAGCAGTATACTTACCAGAAACTAATTTTTCAGACCATGTGTCAATAACTACCCAATTGTTAATTTTTGTTTGATAAACCTTTTGATAATAATATTTGAAGTTAAACTAATTTAAAATACATATAATAGTTTAATCAACATATGTGTGTATATATATATATATATATATATATATATATATATATATATATATATATATATATATATATATATATATATATATATATATATATATATATATATATATATATATTAGGGTGTTTCAAAAAAAAGTAGTCTCCAAAAAAAAAAAGAGCCCTAGCTTATCATCTGTCTAAACCGTGATTTAGTACTGAAAAAAAATTTTTTTTACATTTTTGAAAACCCTAAGGGTACCTTCAGGGGGTAAAAGGGGCAATTTTTAATGCATTTTGTACTATTTTTAAAATTGTTTGGAGGAAGTCTTGACATTAAAGTTTTTGATTTTTATTTTATATTTATGTTTGTAAAAACTTAATCTAATTAAAATGGGCTCTATTCTCAAAAATAAATTAAAAACTCAAAAAGATTGTTTCAAAAACCCTAAACCCATAAATAATAAATAAAAATATTTTTACACAGTACATTTTTTTAATATTTTTATAAATGAAGTTTTAAATTTTTTAGTAATTAAAATGTTTTCTTGAAATATATTTTATATTAATTTTTTTTTTAGATTATATACTTAAATAATTAATATAATGCCACCAAAAAAAAAGTTAGAAGTATTAGATGGGATAGAATATTTTTAATTAAAAAGTTAATAGAACAAATTCCAGCAAAAAAATTTGAAACTGCTAAAGAATTTATTAAATATTATCTCTTTCTACGAAAATCAAAGTGTGAAGAAAAAGTAAAGTTCTTAGTAGGTTGTCCTAACAAAAATTCTTCTTTTATACCCAATTGTCCAGTTGTTCAGCCCAACTGCTGTATGCTGTCCAAACAAAGGGTACCTTGGATACTTAGTGGATTTAAAGTGCTTACAATACAAAAGCTAAAGTAATATTTTCAATAAGTTCTAAATTATTTTAATCTATGTTTATTACATAAATATGCTGTTAAATAATATTTTTACAGGATTAAAACTGAGAAACTGTTGAAGGAGTAGATGAAATTAAAAGATAAAAGAAACAGAATAAATCCTACTGAAATAAAAAAAAGACATTTGTTTGAAGAGAAAATGAATAAGATATTTTGGATTGGAGAACATCCTCATGTTATGTTTGAAGAAATATTAAAAGATAAAATGAGAAAAGTGAAAGACAAAGAGAAAGAAAAAGATATTGCTTTCATAAAAGACCAGCTTAGTGAATAAAAAGAATGACTTGAAGATAGAGGTAAAAGATATGAGTATTCTGTTGTAAGAAGTAAAAGATGCACATAAAAGTTAAATAGAAATCCGTCAGCAGAATTATATAAGAATGATTTAGATTATCAAAGTTCTACTAGTTACACTAGCAACAAATTAGACAAGGAAACAGATGTTGACTTCGATTTTAATACGCATTCTAATATTCAAAATTATGTTCTTCTTCCTAAAAATATTCCTTAGTCAACTGCTCATACAGCAGTGGGAGAAGGTATAACACCCCACCAACATACAGCATTGATAACAAGTGTTATTGTCATGGCTGGTGCTTCTGTAGCAAACTTTAATTGTTCTAAATCCACATTTTAAAGAGCTGCAGAGAAAATAATATCTGTCAGGGCTAAAGAAATAAAAGAACCCATTAAAAATACTGTAATATCATCACATTCACTAATGACTATACACTTTGATGGAAAAATTGTTAATGAATTAACAAAGGGAAAGCAATTTAAAAAAGATAGAATTGCAGTTTTGATAAGGATTGATGTGAAAACAGAACTACTCAGCATTCCTTTGGTAGATTCTAGTTCAGGGGTTAATCAAAAGCAAGCTATTGTAGAATTGATGGAATTTTTTTGATTAAAAGATAAGGTTAAATGTCTCTGTTTTGACACAACTTTAGCAAACACAAGAAAATGGCAAGGTACTTGCATGAGAATGACTCAACAAGTTCAACGTCCCTTGTTGTTAATTGCATGTAGAAATTGCATGTAATTGAGCGACACTTCTTAAAAAGATTTACCCAAGCAACTTCTGATCCTCATCGAAACGCCAGCAATAATAGACGCAACTTTGAGGAGATGTTCATTACTTAATCACTACACAAATTATGTTTACACATTAGCATTAATGTTTTTTTTTTCATTATTAAATGCCTCTCATTGTTGTTATCAGAATTTTTATTTTGTGATCCGTTTTTTGTTTAACAAGTTTTTGTCTGGTGATATATATCTTCGTTCATACTGGTGTTTATAAAACAATTTTTTTTTTTTTTTTTTTTTTAATTAATTTCTGTTGTTATTATTGTTGTGGGTGTATAGCCTTATTTATTTTTAAATATTCCTCTAATTAATCTTTATTTTTGTCTTGACAACTGTCAAAATATGCTTTGTCTAATAAATAATTCTCCTTTATTCTAATGGACTTCATTTCTTCCCTCAGGCGTTCACTGCTTGTGTGTGACCATTCGGCGAATTTTATATGCCAAAGTTTTTAAATAAAACAAAACTGGAAGATAATACTTAGTATTGAAATAAAAAGTATCGATGCTGAAATTAAGGAACTGAAAAGAATAATAATACCACCTGGAATGTGGATATATAATCAAAAACTAGCTGCTGTTCAGTTTTGCCATAATGTGATCAGTTTAAAAATCTTCAAAAAGGTAATATTTTATTTTTATTCATTTTCTGTTAAATTTTATCTTTTAAAGAATGAAATCCAAAACATGACTGACAAACATAAAGAAAAAAAAATTGGTATGGCTTTACTCATTTGTTTTTTCTATACAGAGTGGTTTCTAAAAGCAAAGTTAAGTTCTTTGGCACCAACACAGGTATCAGTCTTTGAGTATTTTTTTTAATAAGTTAAAAAGCTCATTATTGATTAAAGTTCAAAATGTTAATGGATATTATTTATTAGGATATTAAAGCTTACTGGCAAATGAAAAGGTTTAAGGAATGGAACCTACTTGGCTCTCAAGCTGTTGCAACTTTATTCTCAGACATACTTGGTATCTAGATCCTACTTTAGTAATTTTTGCTCTAGCAGATAAAGAATGTAGGAAATGTGGTGATATAGCCAAAAAACTGTATAGTTTACAAAGATGTCCAAGTGACAGTTTTCCTATGGAGCGCCAGGTAATGGACCAAGGTAAGCCTCCTATTTTGACTCCATTAATAACAGAAAAGTCGTGTCTAGTTTTTGGCATGCTCAGGCATGGAGAGGCAGAAATTCAATGGATGAAGACTCCACAAGAATTTTGGAAATTCAACGATTTTTATCTAGAACTTAGAGCAACAGTTAAGGGACTTGATGTTATTAATGACTGTTCTGAGAGGGCAAGACCTCATAAATAGAGCATATTCTGAGGAAAAAAGGCTGGATACCTTTCTCTTTACAAATAGTTACAAGAAAAACAGCAACGGTAAGAATAAAATGGATTACAAAAAAACCACTAGAACAAATATAAATAAAGTCTAGTTTCTTATTTTTTTGTTAATATCACTTCTTTGAGAAAAAATAAAAAAATTCATAAATTTACTGGACTTGCTGTATTTTAATTTAAATGAAACTTTACTATTGAAATGAAATTTTTTATAATTTAATTTTTTTTTTAAGTACCTTCTTTCCTTGTCCAGGCCCTCTCTTTTATATATTTAAAAAGTGAGAAATCAATATTGTATTGTATCAAAATAAATAAAAAAATAATGTATTTTTATGTGTTTCAAGAAAAACTTTAAGAATATTTTGAATTTTTAAGAGCTTTCATAAATATTTATGGACTTTAGGGTTTTTTGAAACAATTTTTTTTTTTAATTTTTGTTCAGAGTTGAGCATTATATTTAGATTAAATAAATCTTAACAAGCATAAATATAAAAAAAAATGAAAAATTTTAATGTCAAAACTTCAAACAGTTTTAAAAATGGTGCAAAACGCCCTAAAAATTGCCCCTTTTACCCCCTGAAAGAACCCTTAGGATTTTCAAAAAAAAAAAATTCAAAAATTTTAAGTACCAAATCATGGTTTGGGCAGATGATATGCTAGGACTCTTTTTTTTTGGAGACATGACCTTTTTTTTGAAACACTCTAATATATATACATCCTTTGGAATAAAGTCGACATTTGACAATGCAAACCTAACTTCCAACCTCAAAGTCTTTGAGGTCAGCAAAAAATTGCTAACATAGTTTCAATGTTTTATGGTTAGACGTTTTTTTTGTGAACCTTATACCAACCTCTAAAAGATTGAGGGCAATCTCATTTTACCTAATTTTGAGGATTAAAAAAAAAAAAAAATTGAAAAAGAGTGCCAATTGAAATGCACATATTTTTAATTAGATTGGACTAACTGATAAATATGAAACTGTTACACTCTAAATTATATTGACAAAATTAAAAGTTATTTAACTAATAAAATATAAAAACGTAATGACTTTTATTTTAGGTAATGAATTATATATTTAATACATTATTTACTTTAATATTTTATTCATTTTTATTGTAGAGTTTTAAATTTTTTTTTTGAATTTTTTTTTTTTACATCTTTGCTTCCAACAAGGCTGTGAGCAACCACTTTAAGAGTTAGAAGTTACTGGAAGAGAAAAGATAAAGTTTGTAAAGCAAGATAATGATTAACAGGCAACTTAAAAGATTGTAAATTATATGAATCTGGGAAGCAAGACGAAAGAACCAATGTTTTCTTTCCAAAGAACAAACATCAGTTTGAGGAAAAAAACTAGAGGAATAAGAGTTTTTGGAGCACTTAGGAAGAGTCTCAAAAAAAAAATGATGAGACTTTATTGAATGACGAGTAACACGAGAATGAATTTTATTAGATGGCACAAGGGACACTAGCTCTTAAGAGCAGTGTACTTTATATTTTATATTTTTAATTACTTTACTCCAACAAAATTTAATGATTAATATTATTTTAGTTTAAATGAACTTTTTCATAAATTAACCCGAAAACTATAAAAGGTCGGACATGACGTATCGAGGACCAATACGGAACAATTTTACTATAATGAAATCTGTTAACTATCAGGGGCTATTCTAGGAAAATAATTTGGGCGGCGGTACCCCTCTGCCTCACTCCCCCCTTCTTAAAATTTAAGTAATGGGGGAGGGGGGCCGAAACATGTTTAGAAAATTTCAAAATTTTTGTTTTTAGATAAACAAAAATTTAGTTAGTTTTTAGCTTTATTATTATGTTTAAATGTATTTGAAATAATTCACTATAATTCATTCCTGTTAAAATGATCTGTTACATAAATTTTATAAGGAAGTTGCTACCTAAAAATAAATATTGCACAGAAGTTTCACTGAAATAAAAATAAATTAACAAATAGCCAAATTACCTTAAATTTACTAGAATGCAAATGTTTATGGGGAAAAAAACCCACATATTAACTGCAACAAACTTACTAATCTCATTGAGTCCATAACTTATATGTATAACTTCCATGTATAAAATAATTATTGTATGAAACTGCTGTTGATGTAGTTAATAAAAAAAAATCTTTAAAATAATTATTGCCATATTTTTGCCAAAAATGAAAACAAATAAATATAAGCTAAATAAAAAAACATTACTACTTTAATCAACCTAAATGCGTTTACTAATGAAAACAATGGTACTGGTGGTCCGGTGTATATACGTGCTAAATTAAAAAGTTTTGTCCAAAAAAAGTCTCTTCAAAATAAAAAACCATAAATTAATACGCGTTTCACCAGATTAAATTGTGACAATCGTTATTTTAGAAGATAAAATTCAAAATTAAAGAATGCCTTAAAAAATTAATTAAAAATTAAAAATCAAAATCAAAGAAAACCTTAAAAGTCACACCTAAAACATTTTTCTGACGAACATTTTTTTTCATAAAACATTATATATAAGAACATTTATTATATACATAAACTTTAAATACTTCACGCGCATTTAAACTCTGATATAGATGATTTCAAAACGGCCGGAAAACGATTTATTGGCCGGAAAAAGAATTATTAATAACTTATTTTTATATAACGGCTGCAAGACAACGGATCTATTCAAAATTAATGCCAAATAAATATATATATGTATATATTTCTCTATCATATTTATAAATATTTACATATATGTTAAATAAATTTAAAAAAAAGGTCTTCAATTACCTGAATTTGGGCAGCGCCCAAATCGGCGCCCAAATACGGTCGACACTGTCGAAAACGGTCTAGAAT